AAAACTTATTCCTAATCTATATGGAATTATAATATCATTCAAGTGTCCTCTTTATTGCTAAAGTTCTAAAGTCATACCGATTATACATGAATAAAGATACTTTTAAATACCTTTAACTATCGACAACGAAATTACATAATTACATGCCACAAGTATATATTTTTACAAGGTGCAAGTCTTGTTGATGTCTCGCCAATGAGTCCTAGACCAACGTATAGTTAACATGGGAACAAACTTCAAATTGGCTCCTAAGTCCAATGGTGATAGCAAGAAAAATATTTTCATCATTAAGTGAAAATGTAAGTTGTAAAAATACATGATGATAAGAGATATCTTAGCAATTAAAAATAAATATGTCGATACTAAATAAGTTTTCGATAGTTACATTCTCTGGTGATAGCAAAAGACTTTTTAATTTTTATTCCACACAAGATGATACCAATAACTTTTGCCAGAAATAATACTTACATATTTTGATACTAAATAATCTTTCGCTATACATATTTATTGAGAAGATTACTATACCAAACTTAAAAATGATCTTCCTTATACATAGGTTGATTTTGAAGAAAATGACAACCATCATGATAGTGATATGAACTTTAGATCCCCCAATTGCCTAATGTAATGGTACAATGACAGTACGTTAGAGGTTAGCCAATAACGTCATATATACAGAAATTATAATAGGCCAACGTGTGTTAGGTATTATGTTAATGTAATAATATTGATTTTTAACATTTCAAAGATGTAGCATTGTATCCATATCAATTCTTTACAAGGATTCTTTCTTCTTGTATATTCTAATATAATTAATTTTTTACCCCCGTCACATAAATAATTGAGTGAAGATTGCACGTACATAAAAACTAGAAAACACGTTACTATATCTATCTATCTATCTATCTATCTATCTATCTATCTATCTATCTATCTATCTATCTATCTATCTAAAAAGTGTGAAGCCCTAAACTAAAAAGTTGAATTACTAAAATACCCTTTTACATAATTTTAAAAACGCCTATTTATAAAAAAACTTATTCCTACAAAGAGTTGTCAAGCCAATATATGCTAACAGTCACAACTATTCTTTTTACCAAACCAACGGTAACAATCACAACCATTGCTTTTAAGGAGTCAATATGCATGTGTATCTGTATATATGGTATGTTTCTTCTTCATCATTTTTTTCTTAGTTTTCATGTTCACATTTTGGCGATATTGTTAATTCTTGGTTTACTTCACTCAGTTATATTTTAATGTTTATTTTGATTTACTGTAATTAATAACTCAGCATTTATATTTTTGCTAATTATTTATGTCCTTGTAAATTTGTGTCTTTAATTATAAGTATACAATAACCTTTTCTTTAATTATGGTTACTTTCACAGTAATAGTTTGTGGAAAATAATACTTTTTTACTTGCAGTTTATTGTTGGACCTCTTTCATATACTAAACCAGATATGTAATCAGAAAAAGTTGATCGTCCAACAACTTGATAGTCTTTTTCTTGGATTATCAATATGAATTTCATATTCTTAATTTTATCTTCTATGTATGTTTCTGGATTCATCCGTTAACAAATATTAGTACAAGCAAATGTTTAGTCTTTCATTATGTGCTTGTATATAATTAGGATTTGTTTTCGTATGTGCATATTCTCGTGCATATTCTCGTGCTTAGTTAGTCGGAATAAGTTTAACTATTTTTTTAAAAGGCATCTACGTTATTAAGTAGGATGATATACCAGTTTAAGTTTGGTAAATAAAATAAATCGTTAATTTTGTGATATTCAAAAACTGCCATTGATCATTTTTTATCCTAATATTTAGATATTCATACCATCTACTCTTTGATCCACTCTGTTTACAATGAAGTTCTATTTAACATTATTGCGAATGAAAGAAATAAATATTTTTCTAAAAAATATTCCATATGAATTATAACTCTGTTATTATCTGCAGTAATTTATATAGGCATGTATGAAGCTTTTCTCTTAATTTTATCTTACTTGATTATCTAAATTTTATTCAGTAAATAAAAAATCATTATGCAATTCAACCGTTCATATCTACAAATGAGATTATAACTCTAACGCTTATTTTTATATAATAAATATATTTTTTTGGTAATTAATTTTCTTTTGTATTAATCACCAAAGATCGGACTTTACAATTCCATAGTCAAGCACAAAACTAAGCTGACTATCTCAAGAGCTTTAGACAAAATTGCTAACCTAACTAATCTAGTCATCTAAACAAAACTGTTGTATTTGATTCCTAGCTCGAGGTACTACTCTAACATTACAAATGTAAGCTATTTCTCTTGCTAATACATCACTGTTACGATATCTTTGCTAAAAGTACGTGTGTTCCTTTCAATCCATAGTACATATGAGGTTTCAGCATAAACCATCCCGAACATACTGGCCTTGTTTGACTTCCCTTTACCTTTCTTGATAATCCATTGGAGATGTTGATCCCAGTTGAATGTGGTCATTTGATCTTCTTGAATCTATCTCACTATTCTCTTCCACAATTCTGTTGCATATGAGCATTGCACAAACATGTGTTCTCTTGTTTTAACTTGGCCTAGGCACATAACACACTGATGAGTGACATTTAATCCCCAACTAGCTAGTCTGTCTTTGGTAGGCAATCTTCAATGTAGCATCAGTCATGATTGTGGACATCTGCCTATGTGGTTGCCTGAATTTCAACAAGTTTTCCTTTAATTTTCTGGAAGCATCGGAGCTCAGTGGATTGAGACATTTAGTGAACACTTCAGTTGCCTAGTCATCAGGTACTGTCGACAATAGCATACTCTCATTTTGAAATCAGATCACGAACTCTCGCAATAGCTCAAACTCTCCTTGAGCAATTTTGAATATGTCCACCTTTCTAGCTTGGACTTTTCTTAGCCCATCATGAGCTTTAATGAAAGAATCTGCATGCATTTCAAAAGAGGTAATAATATGCTCAAGTAAAAGAGAATACCATGTTAAAGCACCATTCGTTAGGGTTTCGCGAACTTCTTCAACAAGACATATTTGATCTCGTGTGGGGCTAAGTCAATTCCCTTTACAATCATAGTGTAAGTTGTGATATACTCTTGTGCACGAAGTCCCATCATACCTCAAAATATCGGGCATCTTAAAACTTTTCTCCGGAGCTATACTTGGTTTGAACAACAACTATGTATAAATATTTTAATCTGGTCCCTTCAACATTGATGGTGTTCCCGAAATTTTTGATCTATCAGGGCATGGAATTCTTGAGCATTTTGGTTAATTCATTCATTCATTCATCTCCCTCATGGATCTCATGAGCTCGATTATAAAAGGATCATTAGCGTTGTTGTCGTTCCGGATTCGGTACCTGCACCACCTGCCTCATTTTCATTAAAATTGAACTCTTCCCTTCAAGTGATGTGGCCGGTTCTTTGCACTATTGGATTTGTAGGCGCACTAGGAGGAACTCAAACTCCTCTATTAGAGTTATTGGAAGCAACCGAAAGCACATACTTCAACTCTGTCATTATTTGATTTTGTTTTGAGAGATGCTTCATAATTTTCCTTTGTTGCGCTCTCAAAATTTTTGACCGTTTCAACAACACGTTCATCATCCATATTGTTGTTGGACTTCTCACATGTCAAGAATTTTATTCTTTGCGAACCAGAGTTATTTCATCTCCCTCATTGCAAGTTTCACTAGTTGAATCCTCACGCTGGAACACATCCTCACGCTTGTTGTTTGTTCCAGCATTATAAGAAATTTTCACATCATTAGCTTCCACATCTGGTTTATATTTTTTTTACTAAAGAAAAATGTCAAACTGCATTAGTAACAAATAAATGGATTAAAGTAATAACATAATTGTCTATGGCCCACGTTTGGCGCCAAACTATTTACTGATAAAATATTATAGTTGAATTTGTAACGTGGATTATAGACACGTGAATTATTTTGGTCCAAGAATATAAAATAGCTAAAAACAAAAGAAAAAATTAGTTAAATAAATTTTTAAAAAGTACAAGCTTGACTGTGGGCTCAGCTCTTTCGATGACAATAATAAAAACAATATGAAGAACAAAAAAGAGAGAAAGAAGTTGTATAGAATAAGAGCAAATTTTGGCTTTTGTGTATGTATAATGTTTCGTCCTTCCATGAATATAAATTCTCCTATTTATAACTCTGTTCAGAGAGACAAGATTCCCAAATCAAGATCTTCTTTAATACGAATAAAACCCCTTTTGCTGGCTGAATAATGACTAGGTATTAATAAAAGATTCTTTGTGACGACTACTCATTGAACGTTGTATTTTCCAACCTATATCTTCCCTTCAAATCTTCGTCCGCGATTTTACTGTCTTAGGAACTTACCCAACGCTGATCATATGTTTGTAACCGGTGCCAGCTATTTGTTGACTCATATGTCATATCTACTTGTCTTTGCTTTCACGCGTTAACTAGTCGAGTATCCACGTATGGTTTACCAACTTTACCCCTACAATGTCATTGAGTTTGTCCTTTTTAACGCTCTTTTCTTCTCCTGTTCTATTCCAGTTTAGAATTGCTTCATTTTATACTTCAACTAATTTTGAAAACAAATATGAAGTCCCAATAATCTCTGCTTTGACTGTACTTAACAAAAATAAATAAATATCACCCATGCTTTGCTAAAGTGATAACGTTGACACGTTTAATTCTTCAAGTCTCCTAGGTTCAAATTTATATTTGCCGGCTACTGTTCTGTAGTTATATGGTAGTCCGCAATTAATACTTTTACTAATTTAATAAATATAAAATATTTATCTTTCATACATATAATTAGCATTTTCCCATACATATATGTATTTTGACTTTAATTATTTAATGTTGATTTGGCTCAGTTATATATTCTCTTGTTACAACTTCCAAGGGAGAGAAAAGAAGAATTGACAATCACGTGCTAGTGACGTGCTTGTTCCCAAATCCCCCATCCCTTTAAATAAACGATCAAATCAGGTGAGGAGTAAACAAAACAAAAATGGTGAGTCGTACCACTAACTCATAACTCTTCATTCAGATTCAACGATGATGAATCTCTTCGTCTTCTCTCTTCTATTTTCTTCCCCTTTTCATCTCACTTTCGCCAGTGGCGGCTTTCGCAGCTCCACTAATCTATCAGGTCTCTCTCTCTCTCTCTCCCTTCTAAATTTACCTTTCTATTTTTGCTTCCTTGATCTATTTATAGCATACTTTTTTTTTTTTTTTTTTTTTTTTTTGTGGAAAATTTAAGCACTTTGATTGGGTTTTCTTTGTTAATTTTGAGCTTAGCAATGATGGGTATTGATTATTATTATTTTCAATATGGAAGGTTATTAATTGATATTGAGCACAAGTATAGTACGTGTAATTGCTCCATTAATTAACTAATTGCTAGTAGTACTATCTTTTGGTGGATTTGTTTTGAATTGGCATTGAATGCTATATCTATGGTTGTCTGATTTTGTTTTTAAGGTATAGGTAAAAGGGAACGATCATTTATTTTAAAGATTGACTCTTGTTTAATTAAATGCTCTTCTTTTCTTTACCAATTGTAGGTATTGTCAATAGTAGTTCTGCAGCTTCAGCTAGACATTTATTTGCGGATAACAACGTTCCTTTCACTGAGGAACAGCACTTGAAAAGACTGTATGTTTATACTTGACCAAAAAGAATTTTAGAAGTTCATTTTTATGCTTGTTCTAGTATTTATTCGTTTTTGTTTTACAATTTAGTGTAATGACAAAGAATCCTCTTTTTGTACTTACAGTGAAGAATTAGCAAAAGATTACATGTCAAATTCTGATCTTGAGAATGCTATCATGTCATTGAACCGTAGGTGCAGTAAGATATCCAGAGTCTACAGGTAACTTCAGGAGATCAAGAATTTATAGATTCCTTTTTCTTTTTCTCTCCCTCCCTCCCTCCCTCTCTCTCCCTCTCTCCCTCCCTCTCTCTTTTGGTTAAAAATAATTTGTAGATTCTTATAAATGCCTTTTATCATTGGGTTTTATCTTAAGAAACTTTCACTTGATTACTTCCCAAAATGCACATCCTTGCAATGTAAAAGTAATGGTTAATGTGCTTATATACTTGGATGACCAAGCTAATTAATGTCTTGTTATTTAGAACAATCTGTAGCACTAGAAGGGGGAAGTTGTCTTGGGTGGATGGTTGGACGATTTTATGTTATACTTTTAAGCTTTATTACTTGGATCTTCATTTACTGTACCATGTCAATTCGGTGTGACGGGGGGTTATTGGTATTTCATGTGGATTCTTCAAAGTACGAACAATAAAAATGGCATAACACTTCACCTAATATGAGAAATTCATAGTAAACTAGTCCAGGTAGCATAGCTTTTCTAGAACCTCTGCATAACGAGGATTGTGATAAATTCAGTAGTTATCTGTGATAGGCTGCTTCAGAAATGTGATTTTGGACTCGAAGAGTCTCCTATTCCATCAAATATGATGCATAAGTATTGTGCTTTGCTTTGCAAATCAAGCAGTAAATTTATTAAAGTACTTTTGACTTTTCCAATTTTAGTGGTAGTAAAGTACTACTTTATCGTGTCTAACTTGCATGTGATCCACAAATAAGAGACAAGCAAACAGAAAAATTGTACTCCTGGCTCTTACGAGTATATTTTTGTGAAATGATAATGGGAATTAATTCATTAGAAAAAGAAGAAAAAAAGATTATGGGATTAATGATAATGGAGGGTGCATCTCATACTTCTAGTAGTCTGAGACCTGGTGTGCTGCATGTGTTTGTGTATTGCAGTTTAAAATAATTGTTTTTTACACTCAGATAAGAAGTGCTACTTTGTGGATCCCTTGATGGATAATCTTTTCCCTCATAAGCAGGGGCAGAGCTAGCGTTGTGGTTGGGGGTTCAGTAGAGCCCAGTAGCTTTAGTCCAAACTCTTATTTGTTTTAAGAAATGTATTGAATATATAAAATATTAATTTAGAACCCAGTAGCTTAAAAAGACTAGAATTCCGAATCCACAAGCTTCAACTCCTAGCTCCGCCTCTGCTCATAAGTGGACAATAACTATCTGTAGTATAATTCTGAACTATGCTGCTTTAACACCTAACTCATTGTTCTTCTCTCTTTGAGGGGTTTTTGGAATGTATGATCAGCATTGGAAAGAGTGTGCTGGGAGTTCCATTGGTAATGCTTTTCTTCTCCTGTCTTAAATCTATATATGATATCTTCCTCTTTTTTCCTTGCATTTGTTCCAAAGTGGACAGCCTCTCTACCTTCTTAAAGGTAGGGGTAAGGTCTGCGTACACTCTACCCTCCCCAGACCCCACTTGAGGGATTACACTGGGTATGTTGTTGTTGTATTTTCCAAAGTGAAGAAATACCTTTAATATTAATAACTAACTGGGGATTACCAACAGTGGGTGATGGAAATCTCTGACAAGCCAGGCAAAGAAGAGGCTGAGCCTGCTTTTAAGGTACTGATATCTCCATTAATTACGTTCTTGAATTTACAAGTGTCATCTGAGGTAACATATTGTTTATGCTTATATACTGTTAGACAATATCTCTTTTCAGTTTGTTCTAGCATTTGCCTTAGCCGTGAAGGTTAAACTGGTGATAGCTTGTGAATCCACTTCTAACTTATTGAATAACTGATGATAATGAAGCCGCAGCTTGTACTTAGTTTGCTACCTTTGCTCCTCATCCTGCTTCTTGAGCTAACCAAATAAAATTCTGTGAAGACTGTAGTACAAAAGTTTTATAGTTTCTTTTCTCAAGCTTAAGGTGGCAAGCTGTCAGGGTTAATGTAGATTCTTGAATCTTTCTTATTCTATGTGATACTAGAGCTGAATAGTACATAACTTGAAAAGTTAATACTCACAGGTGTTCCTTTTTGACCTTTTATTTAATTATGAAGAAATTGAAAGCAGACGTGCCTTAGCTTGCAAGTGCGGCATTTTGCTCTATGTTAGAAACAGCACTATGACTTATCACAAAAAAGGGTCCTTTTGTTATAAGATTGACAAAATATTTAGGACAACGCCTTGGGTAACTTTGCAATTAAATTCAGGCTTTTTTTCCCTACTATTTGAGACGTTATGATTCTGGGTGAACTGCTGAAACTCAGAGGTGGAATGCCCTCCTTCCCTACAACAAAGAAACAATAGCAAAAAAAGGCATAGGGTCACTTAACATAAAAAGGAAGAAAACTGAGAGAAATGGAGTCCTAAAGCTGCAGTAAACTACTTTTTCCTACTGTTAGTAATAAACCGAATGTTGGGTGGAACTGGAAAAGAAAAAAGATATCTTTCTCGCAATTCATTTTACTATTCTTCTGGCTAACTGAATGAACTAAGAACACACTCTATCTGTAGCTTTATGGCTTTCTCAGCCTGCGTTCCCAGAGAAATATTGCATTGGTTTAAGCTGTGGGAACTTGGTTTCTGCATGAGCTATAGCTGTTCTTGTGCTACAAATACTATTCCACATATTCTCCTCTTTTCACTGTTTTCTTTATATAGTTGAATTAAATATTTCAGTATTTTCTTGGAGCAATTTTATTTGGTGATTAAATTACTCAGCAGGCTTCGTAATGCAGTACATTGGCAACGTGCATGGGGATGAACCTGTAGGTCGTGAGCTTCTAATTCTTCTGGCGAACTGGCTTTGTGATAATTATATGAAGGATCCCTTGGTAATTGACTTCTCTGGTTAAATCTTCCTCTTTAGAAAGTTCATGTATCTTACTTGCTGGATTCTAGTCTTGTGTTTCCTCTCTTTGCTGTTGATATGTACTAGAAGCATTGTAAAATATTGGGGCATTTCCCTGGACCATGCAGAAAACTTATGTTTGTAATCTTGAAAATCTTAGGAAATTTCTCTACTGAAAAGATATCCAAGTAAGAAAGCATCCGAACAATTTTTACATACTTTGGGGGAAAAAGTCGATCTTTACCAAATATATGAATGTTCTTCTTTAAAAAAAAATAATTCTTCTTCAAAACATTTGAATGTTAGAGGTTGAAATGAACAAGGAAAGATAGTAAGTTTTACACTATTCATTGTGTTCCTTGGCCAATGTTGAAGCATCGGTTGTCGAGCAACCAATTCACTCGCCATTTGTCAAAATTACTATTTAGTATCTACATGGCATGAATTTGGAATTCCTTCTAAAGAATGAAAGTCTTCTGGCTCTACTGGATTTTATTTTACAGGAACCTTCAAGAATTTTTTGCTCTCAACCCTGTAAAAGCTGTTTGTTCTTGTTTCGATATGTTTCTAATCTTAGGAAATTTCTCTACTGAAAAGATATCCAAGTAAGAAAGCATCCGAACAATTTTTACATACTTTGGAGGAAAAAGTCAATCTTTACCAAATATATGAATGTTCTTCTTTAAAAAAAAAATAATTCTTCTTCAAAACATTTGAATATTAGAGGTTGAAATGAACAAGGAAAGATAGTAAGTTTTACACTATTCATTGTGTTCCTTGGCCAATGTTGAAGCATTGGTTGTCGAGCAACCAATTCACTTGCCATTTGTCAAAATTACTATTTAGTATCTACATGGCATGAATTTGGAATTCCTTCTAAAGAATGAAAGTCTTCTGGCTCTACTGGATTTTATTTTACAGGAACCTTCAAGAATTTTTTGCTCTCAACCCTGTAAAAGCTGTTTGTTCTTGTTTCGATATGTTTCTAATCTTAGGAAATTTCTCTACTGAAAAGATATCCAAGTAAGAAAGCATCCGAACAATTTTTACATACTTTGGAGGAAAAAGTCAATCTTTACCAAATATATGAATGTTCTTCTTTAAAAAAAAAAAATTCTTCTTCTAAACATTTGAATATTAGAGGTTGAAATGAACAAGGAAAGATAGTAAGTTTTACATTATTCATTGTGTTCCTTGGCCAATGTTGAAGCATTGGTTGTCGAGCAACCAATTCACTCGCCATTTGTCAAAATTACTATTTAGTATCTACATGGCATGAATTTGGAATTCCTTCTAAAGAATGAAAGTCTTCTGGCTCTACTGGATCTTATTTTACAGGAACCTTCAAGAATTTTTTGGTTTCAACCCTGTAGAAGTTGGTGGTTCTTGTTTGGATGAGTTTATGAACATCTTTTTCTAATATGGTCGAATTCGTTATTTTATGAGTCCTGGAAAAGCTTCAGGAAATTTGCCC